GACCTCTGGGGGTCGCCGTTACGAAACAAGTCATGACGTTGGGGGTCTGGGGAGGGCAGCCCTGGGCCCTGCCGGCTCGGAGCCAAAGAGCTGTGCCCGCGGGTGCGCCCTCGAGAGGCAGGAGCCCAGAGGGGGCCGCGGGAGGGTAGGGTATGGTTGTGGGCTGGCCCTGAGAAGGCGAGGTCAAGCCTCGGCCAAAACTCGAGCTCCGACCCGCGAGCGGTCTCACCGCCGCCGTCGCTCGCGGAACGCTTGAGGGCCCGGCGCCCGAGCTCACGGGCCGCGGGGAGGTCGCCCTCCCACGGCCAGGAGCTGCGGGAAGGATTGAGCAGGGACCGACCGTCCCGGCATTCCTATAGGCCTACCACGACCTGTTCTTTGAAACCAGACATGTTCTAATAAAACAAACAATGTTCTTAGAACATCAGCCCGACGTGTCAAAACAAAACAGCCCCAGTGCATGTTCTAAGAACATTTCGTGCAGACCACACAAGGTGCTTAGAATATTCTTTTGTGCGCCTATAGGCGAGCTAGGACGCTTCGCCACTGCTTGAAGGAAGGCGGAGAAGGGGGCATTCCAAGGCTCTTGCCTTCTGCGTGGGCCTCCCGCGCGCCCGCGTAGGGGCACAAAGCCCACGCAGAGGGCCAAGCAGGCAGCTACCAACAACAATCAATGAAGAACCAATTGCAATCAAGTGTCAACTACTTCCAGTCAAGTAACAACTAACTAGTTACAACCAACTGACAACTCGGTGCCCATCCGCCACCACGGCGCCGACGGCGGCGGGCGAGGCGGCGGCGTGCGGCGGCGCCGCGACGAGCGACCGACGGGACACCCGCAGCGACGCGACCCGCGGCGGCGACAACGGGAGCCAAGGGGGGGGGGCCGCCGCGGGAGACGCCCGGAGGGAGGCCGCCCCTTCCTCTTCCTCCTCCGCCTCCTCCTCCTCCTCCTCCTCTTCCGCATCCTCCTCCTCCTCCTCCTCCTCCTCCTCCTCCTCCTCCTCCTCCTCCTCCTCCTCCCCCTCCTCCTCCTCCGGGGGGAGGCGGGAGACGGAGAGGGGCGTGCGCCCCCGGCGGGGGCCCACGGGCAGAGGCCCGCCGCCGCGCCTCCGGAGGCGATGTGCCCTCGCGGCTGCCCCCGCCCGCCGCAGGGGCAGCGTCGGCGGGCGGTGGCTGCGTGGGTCAGGGCAGCTCGTAACACACGGGATTTAAAAGCATACAGGGTTTTTAATACATGACTAATGTATGGATAAATTTATGCATGAACTCATCGTTGCTTTTAATGCTAGATCCCTGCATGCTTTCAAATACATGGCCCGCACGCGGAGCATGTATTAAAAAAACTGCACTGTAGAGTCGCCCGCGCGGCCCCGAAAACGTGGCTGCCCGTGGTGGACATCAACAGGCAGCTCCCTGTCGCAATGTCGTCGACTATGAGCCACGCCTCCATCGCAGAGCCGGGGGGGCGAGCTGGGAAGAGGCACGGAACAACCCTGCCCGGATGTGTGGACGCCGCGATGGCCGCGGCGACCGCCCAAACCGACCCGGAGGCTTGGTCCGGGGTCGGATATCACGCGACGAGGTCGGAGCCTCGGACTTCGGCATTACCACGACCTCCGCAGACGCGGCTAGGAGTGGGGGTCTGAAGCTCAAGTTTTTTGAAACCACATAACGCGCGTTACGTGGTTGGGTGAGGGGGTGGGTGGGTTCGCTGGCACGTAGCATCACACGTTGCGCGCACTACAAGCAGCATGCATGTGCGCCGAACTACAGGCGCTGCTGCAACGAAGGCGGGTGAAGCGGAGGGCGTCATGTTATCTACTGGGAGGGTGGGTGGGTTGGAGGCCACATAACGCGAGCTGTGTTCGAGTGAAGAAACTTCAGTTCCAGCTCCAAGACTCGGAAAGGGGGGCCAGCTGAGACGGCCTCGCTCGGCCCTCCGCCAGGCTCAGAATCCGTTCCAAAGTCGGTCCACGGACCCCCCCCCCAGGGTTCCTCGTGACCCGTAGGATGAGGAGGAGAAGGAGGAGGAGGAGGAGGAGGCGGAGGAGGAGGAGGAGGAGGAGGAGAGGAGGCGGAGGAGGAGGAGGAGGCGGAGGAGGAGGAGTAGGGGAAGGAGGAGGAGGAGGAGGAGGAGGAGGCGGAGGACGAGGAGGATGAGTAAGAGGAGGAGCTTTTTCCGTGGTGCACCCAGCCGTGGCGACGAAAATCTCCAGGGAGGCCGAGGAAATGAACAACGCCGGGGAGGCCGTCGTCGCGACTATACCTCCTCCGAATGACAGGGGCCCGCTGCGGACGCCGATCTATCGTAGTCGAGCGAGCTGCCTGCGCTGCGAGCTGGAAGACGTCTCGATGATGAGTAGAACAAGAAGCTACCCCGGCGGTGGGACCCCGCATGAGAACCTCCTTAGTCGCCACCAGAGTAGCAATCGTAATCGTCGTCCTTGCGTTTGCGGTCGTTGTGGGTGTGGATGCCCTTCTGGTGCCTCATGCATCTGTGCTCCTGCCAGTAACCGCCTAATATCTTTGTCTCTAGTGGCGCGCAAATGCTCAAATTATTAAGGGGGGACTGATTGCACAACCGAGTGGGCGCATCCAGCATCTTAGCCAAGAAGGAGCCGTCCTCCATCTGTACGTTGAGCCGGCCATCTGCCACGGCGAGTGCAAGATATACCCGCGATCCCATATGAGGACCGTAACGTCCTTTGTCCCTCTTCCTTGGGCGCCCGAGTTATCCGGGATAACTCGGGTCCAGGGTAACTCGGGTTTGGATCCCCGAAAAACGAACCCGAGTTAGCCCTGACCCGAATTATCCCTGATGATTTGGGGCTCTGGACGCCCGAGTTATCTGGGGTAACTCGGGCCCAGGGTAACTCGGGTTCGGAATCCCGAAAAGCGAACCCGAGTTAGCCCTGACCCGAGTTACCCCTGATGATTCGGAGCTCTGACTTCGTTTGTTTTCTATATTCCTACCTCGGTGTTGCATGAGCGAAGGGGCGCGATGATGCGCGATGGCCTGGCCCAGACATCCTGTGGCATCGATGGGCCGACGTCTTGGGCCCTGTCGAAGACGGCTGCGAAATCTTGGGCGACCGTGGCTTAGAATGAAAGATATTTGAATCCGAGCAAATTCAACGAAGACAGAGAATCCCAATTTCAGGTCGATCGGTGACCCACTTGGCCCCAATTCTATCAGTCCGGAATAATGAACCAGGGTCTGTTAGTGTGGAAAGTCTTGTGAGAAGCACCCTCACCCCGCCTCCACAACTGGCATTCCAGGCTAATGGACCACAGTCCCGTGTCATCTGGAAATCAAGCGTAGTCCACTACCTCCGTGGAGAACGCTGGACTGAAAACCAAACATCAATTTCGGCGAAAATCAATCGCACTTCCACAATTCAACGGAGAACACCGGATTGGGGGGACACAAGAATTGCACACACTCACACACTTTCCAACTAACGATCCCCGGTTCGTTATCTCGAAGACAAATACAATGAAAACGTATAGTAAGGACGCGTGGTAAGGACGCAAGACCCTTGGAGGCCGAAGTTGAAGTATTCTGGGCGGCAGGCGGCCAAACCCCCAGGGAACCTGAGAAACTGGCCTGCGAAAATTGCCAGGGACGGGCCGCAGAGGCTGAGGCAGGCAAGGACCCAAGGGTACCCTTGAAAAAGTCGCTTGTCATTCCTGTGCGCGTGGACTGTATGGGCAGAGTCCCCTCCGAGTACGCAAGCCGCGGGCCACTACTCCTGGAGCGCTATGCACCAATGCCCAGCTTTTTCGCGGGGAAGAAGCGATCTGCCCCCCCTCGTCCATCAGCAGCATGCCGGGATACAGTCGAGGCGTTGACCTAAGGAACCCTAAATAAGGAACGAGGCCCCTGAATTCCATAAGTTAGACTTCGGTTTCGTATCGGAAACCTAAGGAAAATCTAAGGCAAGCTGCGAAACAATGAAGGAACTCGGAGCCCCTCCCCAACGAGAAGGGTTCCTTCTTCAGCGCCCCGACTGTAATGAACCCCAGGTCACTACTCTTTGGGATGAGTAAGCCGAGGCCGACGATCACTGAGAACTTACAAGCCAGAAGCCGCTGATTCGGAACGGCGTGCCACAGTTGAACATTCTAGAATACCGACTCCCAGGTGTATTTCAATGGGAGGTTTATCCGTCCATCTGGGCGTTCCAAAAAGGAAGCACCCTTCTGCCCTCAACCTCCTCATCTGACTCGAGGCCACTCTACTCGGGCACCTCCATCTCCTCCTCGTCCTTTCTTCTCTTCCTCATCATCGGAAAGGGCGGGGCATTCCCCATGCGACAGGGTCCGAAGGGATTTGTGAGGAGAAGGTGTGGGCATTCGAGGGAGGGTACGGCCCACTCAAACGCTAAGGGATCTCGGGATAGAGGAACTGGTCAGGGCCACATCTTCGGGTCAGAGCCTGCAATGCTGGGGCGCTTCAGGGGGACGTCCTGGGAGGGCAGCTTCTGATTCGACCCGCCCGCTGCGGACGAAATTGGATCAGAGGGCGAGGGACAGGCGAGGGGGTCCTCCTCCTCCTCCTCCTCCTCCTCCTCCTCCTCCTCCTCCTCCTCCTCCTCCTCCTCTTCCTACTGCTCCTCCGCCTCCTACTGCTCCGCCGCCTCCTCCTCCTCCTCCTCCTCCTCCTCCTCCTCCTCCTCCTCCTCCTCTTCACGACACGCGGCGATGGCGCGGAGGACGAGCAGAAGGCAGGCGGAGAGCTCGGGGGCAGGAGGCGCGGGAAGGGCGCGGGAGGGGCGGGGGGGCGGGGGACCGCTGGAGCGCCGGAGCGGCTGCAGCAGGGGGGGGGGGGGGGCGGAGCAGCGCCAGCAAGAGCGCGGGCTGCCGGTGCCGCCGGGGGGAGCGAAGGAGATGGAGGAGGAGCAGCAGCGAGGAGAGTCGAGGGGCGAAGGGGAGCGCCGAGGAGAGACGCGGCGCCCCGGAGTGGAGGAGCGGAGAGGCCCTCCCCCGAGCCCCGCCTCGAGGGGCGACTCCGGGCACCGCGGGGGGTGCTTGCGCTGCTGCAGCGGCTGGCTTCGGGGCCGCTCCTCCACCTTGCCCCGTGCCCTGCCCGTCTCGTCTCGTGCCGCTCGAGTGCTGGAGCAAAGCCGTTCCATTACCAGCACCGTCCCCGCGCTCCCAGAAAACGATGCGGTCAGGAATTGTTGCTTCGCGTGTCGTGGCGGCGGCCCGGGCGGCGCGCTGTGCCCTACGAGAGGAAAGCGTGCCGCTCCGCTCCGCGGCACCGGAGGCTGGAAAAGGCTCGGGACATTGACGCTTGGGAAAGGGGGCGTGGATGGCGCGTCGAGCCGGAGCGTGGTGGGCCTGGAGCCAGCGGAGCGACGCGCTAGGTCAAAGTGCCCGACCGTAGGTGCAGCGCTGCTTTGGTGGGACGTGTCGCCGAGCTGTTTGGTGGAAGGTCGCAGGATGACAAGGTTCTGCGGCGATGTGGAACGGGCTAACTGCGAGGAGACGCCCAGACACCAATCCATCATGCCCTTCCTTCTCCCTCTGTCTCTCCTGCCCACCTCTCCCCTCCCTATTTCTGAACTGTACTCCTCCGCGTTATGTCCTTCCTGTGCCCCTCCGCTTTTCTCTGTGCCCGCATCCATGGACATCTTCCTCTCCCCATGCCACCCTACCTCTTGTGTGGTTCCTCGTCGGCACACTCTACCGTGGGGACCGCGAACCATGGCTCACCCTGTAGCACCAAGCAAAAGAAATGTCGAATGCGTGTTCGTGCCCCCGACCAATTCCAGGAATCAGATGCCTCCTACATGGGGTCGGGGTAGGTGGGGTCGGAGGATCGCGCCGTATCCCTGATGCATCGGCGATGCATCGCCGATTACTTGGCGATGCACCGGTGACGTGGGCGATGCCTCGGCGCAGTCGGCGTGAAGAAAATCAGGCTCCACATCGAGCCGCATCGCCGATGCATCGGCGATGTGGCGCGATCCTCCGACCCTATCTGCTCGGACCTCATAACGCCTAGAACAACTGTCCTTGTGCTTGCAACTGGGTTTGATTAGGTAAGTCCACAGCCATACGACGCTATTCAGCTCGGGTAAGGAATCAATGCGCCCTGCTCCCAGGCGGCTGCCGCAGTGATGTGGCAAAGCCGATCCTTATACCCACGAGCCCACAGATCGAAATTGCCTCTCCCTCCAGAATAGAGTATTGCATGTGAGTCATCAGTTTCTACCAATACCAGGCTGTCACGAGACACGCCCAGCATCTCTCAATCACGTCTCGACAGAGCGCAATTCTTGCAATCAGCGAGTGTAGCTCCAAGATGTTATGATGCCCTGCTGCGTCAGCGCATGATGAGAAAGCGAGCGTGACAGAAAGAGCGAGATGGACGGGAGGGAGGATGCCAGGAATAGAGAGGATGGACGGATGGACAGCGCCTTGAGAAGGTCGGGAGGTGACAGCACCAACAGCAATGGGTGATCGACCCGAGCTACATCACCCCCGAGGCCCTTGCCTCGTTTCTGGCCTTGATGCAGGCTGAGAGAGCCGTCATACGCTGCTCATGTGCGGTGGCCGTCGGAGCATCCGAGAAAGCCCGCGGTACTGAGGCAACACTCTTATCAGGCTGAGCGGGAGGTTCACCTGCATCGACCAGCCGAGCAGCGGACAACGCCTCATCAAGCAACGCTTTGATCTTCATATTTGGGCTAAACCCCCGTCGAAAGCGACTAAGGGTATCCGGTCCTTTAAGCGTACCGCAGACCGCAGCGAGCTTCACGCTCTCCCTTGAGACCGACCCCGGCATTAGGAATGTACAGAGACAGGGATCGACGAACGCTGCTGCAATGCCCTCCCCCACCCCCCACAATGTGAAACTTTTTGGCGCCGCTCCCTTCAGAGGCCGCGTGGCAAGCTAGTCCAGCAGCCTCCTCCAGGCGCCGGGAAGCTGGGCAGGCAGAAGGATCTTGGAGAATACCAGCGGCGGTGTGAATCGGCTCGTCGCGTCCACTACACCTGCGAGGAGTCTGCTCTGCTGTGGGACGGTAGCTCGTTTGCCCTGCTCGGTTCTCGGGATGTGCTCCCAGGGCCTCATACTTCAAAACCTGGCGCCAAGACATCCCGTCTAACTCCCCGCTGCTCCACACCCTCCTTCCCCTCAGGAGTGGCCCCGGCACCCTCTTGTGCTCCGTGTTGCCAGAGAGCGAATGCGACTGGCATAGGCTGCGCGTCTGGAGCACATTCTCGGGAGCCGGAGCACGGCGGCATGCACAAGCGCAGTGCACGTGCGGATTTGGAGGAAGATTGGGACGAAAGCGAAAATGATATGGAGGGCGAGCGAGGACAGCATGGCCACCCAATGCACGCATTGCTAGTGGTGTGAGAGGGAAGCGACAACATACCCCAACATACCCCATCTGAACCAAGGGCGTTAACTCGCATGGCGGGGCAAAACCTTGCCCATCCCAAGTGTGCCGGGCTCCTCCGAGTCCTCGCCGACCGATGTGTCAACATCTGCCGCCTGGGCAAAAAGCAGTCTAGGCAAGAGAACGGGAATGGAACCCAGTGACATCGGAGGTGAGGAAATATGATGGCACAATGACCTGAAGATAGACTTAGACTCGTGTCGGTGCAACGCTTCTCTGAATCTTCCGTCAAATCGCGTGGTGAGCGGCCGCGCAAATGCCCAGTGTCCAACACATGCGCGAGCGAAGTCGAACGTCCGTCCCTGCAGAGATGGCAGTAGGGAAGGGAAGGGGGTGGACGACGACAGTCGGGAGCGAGAGGGCGCTTGTCGAAACGACTCGGGCCAAGCACGTGCAAGAACGCGCCACTCTGCGAGAGAAGGGACGATCAACTGAACATCCTCGATTATTTCGAGCCGCCGTCCGCAGAAATCAAGGCCACTTCCCAGGAAACCATTATTCATACTGGGTCGCTTTTCGACAGTCCCGCGGGGCCCAAGGGTCTGGCCCAGGAGGCCGCAAATGGCGAAAACCTCCAGCTGGCATGGTCTCCCAATCCCATCCCTTGAGCTGGCAAATGACGGGGCGAAGGAGGAGGAAGAGGAGGAGGAGGCGAAGGATGAGAAAGGAGGAGGAGGAGGCAGAGGAGGAAGAGGAGGAGGTGAAGGAGGAGGAAGAGGAGGAGGCAGAGGAGGAGGAGGAGGAGGCGAAGGAGGAGGAGGAAGAAGAATGCGTGCTGAGAGTGCGAGCTACATGGGGCAGGGCCTCCCTCTCCGTAGAGCAGATCAAGGGTCAGACCTCACGGCCGCCATTGAAACTTTCCTCCTCCTCCTCCGCTGCAAGGTCTGAGCGGCGAGCTCCGAAACCGCTGCTGCAGGGAGTTGAACCCTCGAAACTCACAGTCACCATCCACTGAGGGGGAGGATTTTTTTAACATCCACCGGTGCGAACGCACGGTGGCACCACCTCCAAGGCGCCACCGCCAGAGGAGGAGGAGGAGGAGGAGCAGGAGGAGGAGCAGGAGCAGGAGGAGGAGGAGGAGGAGGAGGAGGGGAAGGAGGGGGAGGAGAAGGGGGAGGAGGGGGAGGAGAAGGAGGAGGAGGAGGAGGAGGAGGAGGAAGCGCAGGAGGAGGAGGAGGAGGACCAGTGTAAACCCAAGACTCATCAACGATGTTTGAATAGCCCCTCCATGCAAGCTCCCTCTTCATAGGCCCCTACAACGGTGCTCATTCCCACTGAGGGAACTGCCTCGTTTGAAAACGACCGTTTGAAGACCCTGAAGCATGTCACAACATTGTTCTCGGGGATTCGAACGCCGCGGACTAACTTGACTGTTGCGTCTTGACGATCCTGATTCGGGCCAGAATGTCATTCATGGGACTTCAACACCGCGAATCAACATAATCGTTGCACCCCAATAGCCCCGAGCCCTTCAAAAACATCGGGTACGTTGATCATGGGAAGCCGTGGACCTCTTGCACATTTTGAAACATGAATGTGCGCGGCATTGAAGCGAGAACCACATTTTGAAAAGGAACCGCCCTTAATCCGTGAACCTCTTGCGTTTTTCTTGCTTCAAAATCAGAATGTGCGCGGCGCTAAGGTGTGAACAACATTTTGAAAACGGCCCGCCCTCAATCCGTGAAGCTCTTGCAATTTCTGAAAACGAATGTGCGCGGCGCTCAAGCAGGAGCCATATGTTGAAAACGGCCCGCCACAGACATCAATATGTTAAATCCCTGCTGAGTTTTAAAACGAATGTGCGCGGCGCGAAGGCGAGAGGCACATTTTGAAGACGACCCACCCACCATATGTGAAACTGTTGCCAGCTTTCAAACATCAGAATCATACATGACGAAGCAGCCTCAGGTGAAACGCCTGGCCCGCCCTAAAAACTGGCCTCGGGGTGCGACAGGGAGAACATGTCTAGAAGGAAAAGGAATGGAGAAGGAGGCGGAGGATGAGGAGGAAGAGAAACAAAGAGGAGGAGGGAGGAGGAGGAAGAGGAGGAGGACGAGGGAGGAGGGGGAGAGGAGGAGGGAGGTGGAGGAGGAGGTAGGTAGGTAGCTAGGTAGGTAGGTCGATAGGTAGGTAGGTCGGTCGGTCGGTCGGTAGGTGTACTCCGTTGGAAGATTCTATGCTGGGCGCGCGGGCCCGGGTCCTCTGGTGTCGCAGGGCCAAGGGGGGCGACTGCGTCGACTCCGCAACGTCCACCCATGGGAAAGGCAGGCTTGCTTGCTGGGGGAGGGGAGGGAGGGGAGGGTGCACGGTTCCCCCCGGGGCTGTAGGCGACCCGAGGAGGAGGAGGAGGAGGAGAAGGAGGAGGAGGAGGAGGAGGAGGAGGAGGACGAGGAGGAGGAGAGAGGAGGAGGAGGAGAAGGAGGAGGAGGAGGAGGACGAGGAGGTGGAGGAGGGAGGAGGAGATGAGGAGGAGGAGGAGAAGGGGAGGAGAAGGAGGAGGAGGGGGAAGAGGAGGAGGAGAAGGAGGAGGAGATGGAGGAAAAGGAGGAGAATGAGGAGAATGAGGAGGAGGAGGAGGAGGAGGAGGAGGAGGAGGAGAAGGAGGAGGGAGGAGATGGAGGAGGAGGAGGATGGAGGAGGAGGATGAGGAGGAGGAGGAGGACGAGGAGGAGGAGGAGGAGGAGGAGGAGGAGGTATGAGGAGGAGGACAGAGGAGGAGGTCGGGTCGCCTGGCCTAAGCCTTTCGGAGAAACCCTCCAGGGGGGCCGGGGGTGGGAGGCCTGTGGCTGCCCAGCCCTCCCCTGCCGCCTCCGACCCCACCCTGCGCACGGGAAGCCGCGCCTTCGCCCGAAAAGCGAACGCAAGGGGAGAAGGGGGCAAAAGCCTGCGCAGCGGCTCCTTTCGGGGACCTCTTCGGCAGGGACTCCTGCCCGCACTCCCGACCGCACCACGTCGACGCAGCACGCAACCACGGGACTTGGAGTACGGAGAGAGTTGGGGTCACCCCAAGAGGCAAGGAGGATGTTTCTCCCTTGGCTCTGCCCAGAAGGCTGCCTCCTCCTGCTCGAAAAGGCCGCCGTCGCAGCCGCCTCCGCGAGGCCTGCCTCGCCCGGCCGCGCAGGCAAGACCGCCCTGACGCAGGACTCGTCGGGTGGCCCATCCCTGCCCGTTGCCCGCCGGAAGACTTGCCCAGGGGGAGCCAGTCTTCCCGCAGGCGGCAAGCACACGCAGGGTGAGGCTGTGGGTGGTGCCGCCGCAGCAGTGCAGCTCAGGCGTCGCGGCGACGAGCCCGCGAGTAAGCGCCCCCGACGTGGGCAAGACGCACCAGCCGGAGGCGAAGGCGCGCGAGCGGTCTCTGGCCTTGGCGTGCTTCCCAGCTCTGCCCCGAAGCTAAGGCGAGGGACCGATCGCGCCGGAGCCCCCCTGCCCAGGGCGATGCAGGGGAGCGGTCGCGTGTGTAGGGTCAGCCCTTGGACCAACTGCCTCCGACAGCGTTCTTCCACGATCTCGCGGGCTCTGGCCTTGTAGGCCTCCAGGCTGGATCCTAGAAGAGTTACCTCTCGGGCCGGCCAATCTGGCAGATCCCAGGATTTTACTTGATGCAACGATGCACGTGACCACGTGCGCCCAGGCGCACGGTGGGCGCGTATGAACATTATCTTGTAGAGATCAAATTCTGGGAGACCCGCCCGCCTCGCGAGGACGTTCAGGACCGCGCGCCACGAGTCCGAGAGCGTCCAACACAGTTCCGCGAAGGCTGCGGCCGCTTGCTTCCACGGCGGGCAGTCGAGGAAAGTCCGCGCCCATGATGCGTAACACTCGTCTGATCTGGAGGGGGCCCCGTTGGCGATGGCGTAGAGCCAGCCACCGGCCGGGGGAGGAGGAGGGGGAGGAGGAGTTCGGGTTCCCTGGGGGTTGCGAGTCTTCACTAGCGAGGGGGAGGGAGGAGGAGGAGGAGGAGGAGGAGGAGGAGGAGGAGGAGGAGGAGGAGGAGGAGGAGGGGGAGAAGGAGGGGGGGGAGGACGAGGAGGAGGAGGAGGAGGAGGAGGAGAAGAAGGAAGGGGAGGAGGAGAAGGGGGGGGATAGTGTGATGAGGATGAGGATGAGGAGGAACCAAGGTATACCTCGCTCACTGGCGCTCTCGGCCTTGGCCTTGTCGGATCGTACCTCAGCCACTGGCCGCTCGTGACGATCTGGGCAACCCCCAGAACGCCCCGTTGCGAAACGTAACTGCTGGAACTGCTGGACAACCGCCGAAACAAACAAATTCCGCGCAGATTTCTTGGATCGGCCCTGGACACCCCTCCCTGGCGCGGAGCGCGCCAGGGGCGGCGACAGCGCCGCTGAAGGGGGGGGCCAGCGCTGATCCCACAAATGAGCGCGGACCGCCGAGCCGCCACCATCACAACCACCAACTTTACCACAATCCCCATCATCACCATCTTTATTCACCATCGCCATCGCCATTACCATCACCACAAACATCATCAACAGCATCATCAACATTACTACTCCCCATCACAATTACCATCATCATCAGCATCACAATCGCCATCGTCATCATCACCATCACCCTCAGCACCATCATAATCACCATCACCATCACTATTCACCATCACCATGGCCTTCACCATCATCACTGACATCACCTTCAAAAGCAGCATCACCATTATCACAGACATGATCACCATCACCGTTGTTCATCGTGACCATCACTAGCATCAGCAACATCACTATCCCCAGAACCCTCATCATCACGCTCATCATCACCACAATCATCATCGAACTCACAAGCGCTACTCAACATCACCACCATCATCGCCATCATCATCGCCATCGCCATCGCCACCTCCACCATCGTCGTGATCACCATCGCCATCACCACCATCGTTCACCATCACCACCAACATCCGTCACCATCCTAAGCACCATCACCATCACCATCACCGTCATCATCACCATCATTAGCATAACAACCATAATGACCATGATTCACCAATTCCAATCACAAACAACATCACGCTGATCATGATCATCACAATCAGCATGACCATCACAATCACCATCACCACCACGATCGTCATCACCACCATCACCATCATTGCTCACGCTCACCATCACCATGTTCACCATCGCAATCATCATAACCATCATCACAACCATCACCATCGTCATCACGATCACAATCACCATCATCATCACCACCACCATCGCCACCGCCATTATTGACCACCACCGTCACCATCGCCATCACTATCATCATCACCACCACCACCATCATCATCGTCATCATTGTGATTTGCCATCACCTTCACACGCATTACCATTATTTCCAACACAGTCACTATCACCAGCATCATGATCACCATCATTGACATCATCATCATCATCTCCATCACCCTCACCAAAATTATCAACATCACCATCATCGACATCACCATCATCACCATCATCACCAGAACCACCCACCATCGTGATCGTCACCACCCGCATTCACCAACAACAATGCCTTCATCATGCCCGACATCATCATTATTCACCATCGACATCACCATCACCATCATCAGTACCATCACCATCGCCGTCATAATCTTCACCACCACCACTATCATGTCCATTCACCATCACCATTACCATCACCATAGTCATCACCATCACCCTTACCATCACCCTCACCATCATCCCCATCACACTCATCCTTATTCACCATCACCAAGCCCGTCATCATCACCCTCACCATCACCATTACCATCACCATCATCATTATCACCATCAGCATCGCATTCATGTACCATCACCACCACCGTCAACATACATAGCCATAACCATCATCATTACCATCACCATCACCGTAACCATCACCATTACCATTCACCATCGCCGTCATGATCATGATCATGATCATGATCATCATCATCATCGTCATCACAATCACCTTCACCATCACCAATACAACAATCAGCATTAACACCATCATCACTATTCACGATCACCGTCACCATCATCATCATCATCATCATCATCGTCATCACCATCACCATCATCATCAACACCACCATCATCATTTCTCACAATCGTAATCACCATCGGCGTCATCATCATCATCATTGTCGTCGTCACCATTACCATCACCATCACAATCGCCATCAGTATCATCATCACCACCATCACCACCATTGTTCACCATTACCAGCATCGTCATCATCATCATCACACTCAGCATGGCCATCACCATCATCACCGCCAATCTCCGCACCGCCACCACCATCACCATCACCATCACCATCACCATCACCATCACCATGACCATCATCATCATCATCATCATCATCATCATCACAATCACTGTTGTTCACCATCGCCATCACACTCATCAACCTCAGCACCAGTATCCTCACTATTCACCACCACCATCACCAACAAGATCGGCATCACCGTCACCATCCCCATCCCCATCATCATCATCATCATCATCATCATCATCATCATCATCATCATCATCATCATCATCATCACAACCACCACCAGCATCATCACCGCCATCATCATCACCACCACCATGACCACCGCCACCGTCACCATCGCCATCGCCATCGCCACCACCACCACCGCCAACACCTCGTCGTAGGCCCGTCGGGGGCCGCCTGCTCCTGCGGGACCGGCTGCGGCGGCGGGCGCGGCCTCTGCTTCTGCCTCGCACGCGCGGGGGTTCGCCGCGCCGGGCGGGGCGCCCGAGGGGCCTCCGCCGGGCGGCCAGCCACGGTCGGGGGCGGTTGCTCCGCGTGCCGCGGCGGCGGCCCCGGCGACACGCTGTGCCCTTTTGCGAGCGGATGGCGTGTCGCTCCGCTGCGCGGGGCAGGAGGCTGGGAGAGGCTCGGGACGTTTTAACAGCCTGGAACAGATCCCTATCCCTATGCGGGGCATCTCCTCATCGCGGTGCCAATCTTGGGGATTCCCTTGTGTTTTGAGGGTGCATCCCTAAGATTGTCATCGCTTTTTGGCGTGTCAATCTTAGGGATAGGGATACGTTCGAGGCTGGTAAACGTTGGCGCTGGGAGCGCGTGGCGCCGAGGCGTGGTGGGCCAGAGCCCGCGGCGCGACACGCCAGCCAAGAGCTCCTGGCCGCAAGCCCGGCCGGAAAAGGGGGGGGGTAGCAAAGTCGGAGGCGACGATAGGGGCGAATAGCCCAGGGGCAAGCACTACACGTACCTCTCTGGGAGCCACGCCGAAGACATGGACCATCGGCGCCCCTGGATACATAATATTGCTCCCCCTGGGCTATTCGCCCCTTTCGTCGCCTCCGACAAAGGGAGGTTCGAAAAGCAGCCTCCGTAACTGGTTTCTCTGGCGCCCCCCGGCGCGGGGGGCGCCCAGGCAGGCATCGGGGAACACGACTCGGCGGCGGGGCCGAAGCCAGCTGTATGCAGCAAATTTCGCATACGCACCCCCTCCGCTTTCCCTGTCCCTCCCCCTTTTCTCGGCGGCCAGCCGGAGGGGGAAGTGAGAGGAGCCTTATCAGAAGGCTCGGAAGTCCCCCGGCCTTCTGAGAAGTTGTCCGAGCCTCCCCTGGAGACACAGGAAACCTCTCAGGAGGCAAGAGGGCTTGCGAGAAGCCCCGCCGCCTTCTGAGAGGGCCTTCTCCTTCACACTTCCCCCCTCGCTCGCCGCCGATTTTTTCATCCGACCCGACTCTGACAGCTCCTCCCGCCCTCTCGCCATTGAGGTCTTGGGGGGGGGGGCGCCGGGCCTCCTCTGGGGTTGCTCCGTGCAGGCGAAGCCTGCAAAGGTCCTCAGAGGCCTCCGGAGGCCTCCGGAGACCTGCGGGGGGCTCGGCAGGATGCGTGGCACCCTGCAGCTGCGGAGAAAGAGCGAGGGGGGCAGCGGGGGTCGTCGGCAGTGTGCGAGGGTGCGACGAAGCCCGCCGCAGGCGCCGAACATGTGCAAATTGTGCAAGGAGCCTGCCGCAAGCGCCGATTTTTCCGTCAAAGCAGTGTGGGTGGGTCGCGGGTGTATCGCCGGGTGGGTCGCGGACGACGACTAAAGCGCAACAACAACAACAACAACAACAACAACAACAACAACAATCATTTTACCCGAACGCTCAGTGTTCTCACCAGTGCCAGGGTTTTCATGCGACGCGAGACAATACCCCCACTTCGTGGGGGGGCAGTTCAAGCTCTACCAAATATCCAAACGACTCTTCGCGACCACCCAAACCCAGCTTCCCGCCCTATGACGTTGGGACACTTCACTTCGTGGCGTGCGGACGACCGTGGCTACTACACTGGCGTGGGGTACACACCCACAGAACTTGGTCACTTATTCGGGGCGCGCGTGTGCCCAGCATCCTGCAATTGTGACATACAATACATGACACAGACAGACAGAGAGAGAGACAGAGAGCAGACAGAGAGAGAGACAGAGAGAGCGGAGTTGGTCACATTTTTGGGGCAAGTTCCTGAGATCGTCGTGTTTTTTGTTGGTCTTGCGCGCGCGAATGTCCACTTTACTTTTTTTTGCAAGGGAGTATTGAAATTTGATTATGTTAGAACAAGAAAAAGTAGCTCGCGCGAGCTCATGTAACATAAATGTTGAAAAACCATTGGTTTTGTGGGAGTCGGACAGCGCGCGCGGGATGAAATTTGGACATTTTTTTTTGAAAAACCATTGGGTTTTTGATGTTTTTATGTTGAAATCGCTACGAAACCTAAGGTTCTGGAAGGATTTCGTCTTGCGCGCGCGAATGTCCACTTTACCTTATTTTTTGCAAGGGATTATTGAAATTTGATTATGTTAGAACAAGAAAAAGTAGCTCGCGCGAGCTCATGTAACATAAATGTTGAAAAACCATTGGTTTTGTGGGATTCGGACAGCGCGCGCGGAAGGACATTTTGACAATTTTTTCTTAAAAAACCATTGGGTTTTTGATGTTTTTATGTTAAAATCGCTACGAAACCTAAGGTTTTGGAAGGATTTCGTCTTGCGCGCACGAATGTCCACTTTACCTTATTTTTTGCAAGGGATTCTTGCAATTTGATCAAGTAAGAACAAGAATTTTCATTTTATAGTGTTTTTTGCAAGGGAAAACGGATTACAACAAAACAACCGGATCCGGACACAATCCACTTTTCTGAAGCTTTCGCGAAAAAAAAAATGATGAAAATGTAGCTGCGGCCTAGGCGCGGCGCAGAGGTCGCGCACCAGGGGTCCCAACAATAATTATTCTTAAGAAGAAAATAATGTTCAACAACAATTACTAGCACGTGGGGACACTCCGTTCTCACCAGTGCCAGGGTTTTCATAGGAGGCGGGCAATACCCCCACTTTGTGGGGGGGCCGGTTCAAGCTCTACCAAATTTCCAAACGACTCTTCGCCACCACCCACACCCAGCTTCCCGCCCTATGACGTTCGGACACTTCACTTCGTGGCCTGCGGACGACCGTGGCTACTACACTGGCGCATGGGTACGCGACGCGGGTAGAAATTTTGAAAATTCGTACAGATGTTTTTCGAGGACCTACGGTGCGATTCGTATGATTTTATGTTGCGCGGTGCTAAAATTCCTAAGAAACCCAATGGTTTTTGAAGATTTCGGCGTGCGCGCGCGAAGAAAAAACGAATGTGTCCCGCATGGTATTATTTGACAGGGATGATGGCCCTGGCAGGTGCGCAACCGTTGTTGGAGAAGTTCGAAGCACGTGAAAAAGTTGCTCGCAAAAGCCCGTTTGACAGAAATGTTTAAAAAGTGTTGGGTTTCCTACAAATCCGCAAGAGCGTGCGGGATGAAATTTTGACACTTTGTTTTGAAAAACCATTTTTTTTTTTTTTTTTTTTTTTTTTTTATTTAATGTTTTTATGTTAAAATCGTTACGAACACTAAGGTTTTGGAAGGATTTCGTCTTGCGCGCGCGAATGTCCACTTTACCTTATTTTTTGCAATGGATTCTTGAAATGTGGTTATGTTAGAACAAGAAATGTCATTTTATATTGTTTTTTGCCAGGGAAAGCGGGGGGGAACAAAACAACCGGATCCGGACCAACCCGTTTTGCCGGAGACTTCCTCACGAAAATGATGAAAACATGGCTGCGGCCTAGGCGCGGCGAGGGGGCCGTGCACCAGGGGTCCCAACAATAATTATTCTTTAGAAGTAATAATGTTCAACAACAACAACAATGATACTAATGATGACAACAACAACAACAGCAACAATGACAACGCAACAAAAACGCAACAACAACGACAAGAATCTGCTCCGCGGAACCCCACGTCAGCCACGCGCCCAGTGACAATGAATGACTGTTCGGTCCCCTCACTCTGATCTAACGATGACAAAATGGCCACGCGAAGCCTTCCGAAGACTGCCTTGAGACAATTACCCTTCACATCTTCCTCTGTGACACCTCCTGTCACACATACGCATCGAAACACGACTAAAGGTCTAAAGGCGCTACCCTTTTTTTTTTGTTTCTCTCTCTCTCTCTATATATATATATATATGCACATACACTCCTCTGACAAGCACATCCTAATGCCACCCATGTGGGGCAAGGGCTGAGGTAGAAGAAAGCGTGTTCTCCCGGACAACGGACCCAGACTTGCACCCTTTTAGCTGGTCTATTCCAAACCTGTGTGGGGGGTGAAAGGGGCTGGGGGTGGGGATGATGAGAAGGCCAAAGATAGAGAAGGGCAGTGACTCCAAGTGTTCCCTCCTATTTCCTCCATCTCTCTTCTCCTCCCTCTGTCGTCCTCCCTGTCTGCCTCCTCTGCGGAACCACTTGCCTATCTACCCGAAGAGGGCGCGATCAGGTAGCAGCACCAAACAAGCTTGATGCGTGCCCGCTTGGTCCGTGAAAGATGGGGCCAGCCAAGGGGAGGTGAGACAAGTAAGAAGATACCTTCTTCACATGGCTGTGTTGCCCAGGGGGGCAGGGTGACGTGGTCAGAACAACGTCCATACTGGCTCCTCGGCCTTGCATCCCAGCTTCGAGGCAACTTGGACGCCTTCGTGCCAACACATGTCCTCTAGCCAACAAGTATGCCCTCGGGCGCTCCTGAAGTTTAGGTGTGCAGCTGAACAGCTCCCAAGGGGGGCGTTTGCTGGAAAAACGCTTTTTATTCAAAGCGTTGTCCGTACTCCTTTCCCTCAAGGCCAGAGCCCGCTCGACACTGGCTCACATTCCTGGGACAACCACAAGGTACTGATACCGCTACTTCCCGGACCTATTCATGGGGCGTGCTGTCCCCAGAATTTCGAAGAGAATCCAGCGGTGGCGACCCAAGAAACCGAATACATAAAGATGAGGGAAGGATAGCGCACGGGTACCTTTTCCTCCTCTGAAGTCCCCTTTTCGAGCCGAGCCCGCTCGCGGCGACGAAACGCACCCGCAACGGCCACGGAAAGCAGAAAAGAGCAGGCCCCGTGAGCGGACGAGACCCTCCCCCTCGCCTCCTGCTCGGCCCTCTGGAAGGGGAGGAGAGGGCACAAACAGAAGCGAGGCGCGCCGGGCGACATCCATGCCAGTGTGCCCTAGTACGGGGCTGAGCCGTGTAGCGACGACCTGCGCGTCGGTTTTCGACACCGCGTGGGTCCCTCAGTCTTGAGCGCTCGCGGCTTCCCGACAGTGCCGATCGTTCGACATGCAGGCCGGCTCCTGGCCAACCGCGGCGTCCAGCCTTGAACGCCCGCGCTGA